CGGAACTGAATCTTGCCTCCATCAGGGCGGAGCACATATCCGGAGTGGCCAACCAGCAGGCGGACTCACTGAGCAGAGCCACCGTGGACCATTCCGAATGGCAGCTGGATCCGAAGATCTTCAGAGAGATCGTGGACAGGTTTGGTTCCCCAACCCTAGATCTGTTTGCCTCCCCAGCCAACTCACAGGTTCCCAGATTCCTTTCCAGATTCCCGTCTCCATCAGCGGAAGGACAGATGCACTCCGCAGTCCCTGGCCCAGGGAACTGCTCTATGCCTTTCCTCCCCTGCTCCTTCTACCTGCCACGATCAGGAAGATCCTTCGTGAACAAGCAGAGGTCCTCCTGGTCGCCCCGCATTGGCCGAGACGATCTTGGTTCGCCGACCTGATGGAGCTCTCCGCATCCCTTCCATGGAGGATTCCAGCCAATCGGATCTCCCTCATTCAGGGGGAGTTACATCATCAGGACCCTCAATGGCTCCAGTTAACCGTCTGGCACTTGAGAGGCAGGCCTTAGGCCTAGACGCATATTCGTCAAGGGTCATAGCCATGATCCAGCAATCCAGGCGACCCTCGACGAATAGAATATACGATGCCATGTGGAAAAGCTTCTGTAATTGGTGTTTAGCTCACAAAATTGAACCCTTACAGGCTGCAGTGCCAGTTATCTTGGAGTTCCTGATGGATGGTCTGGACAAAGGGCTTTCCACAAGCATCATCTGTAGGCAGGTAGCAGCACTTGCCACGGTTATTTCCTGTGGCAAGGAATCCTTAACACAGCACCCTATGATACGCTCCTTCCTAAAGGGAGCTAACAATGCCAGACCACCAACGGTACATAGATATCCCTCCTGGGACCTTCATCAGGTTCTACAGGCTCTTGTCTCACCACCCTTTGAGCCTATTGACACTTGTTTGCTCAAACAATTATCAATGAAGGTGGCATTTCTGGTTGCTATAACTTCAGCCAGAAGGATCTCTGAGCTGGCTGCCCTGTCAGTAAGAAAAAACCTGTGTATTTTCCATATGGACAGGGTTACTCTCAGGTTAGATCCCTCTTTCGTGCCCAAGGTCAACTCCTTGTATCATAGGTCCCAGGACACAGTTTTGCCGGACTTCTGTCCGAACCCATCTAATGACACAGAGGCTCAGTGGAACAGATTGGATGTTCGTAGGGCCTTATATTGCTATATACAGAGGACCTCATCCTTCCGCAAGACTGAGGCTCTGTTTGTGTCATTTCACCCTTCGTCGTTAGGACAAAAGGTTTCCTCACCCACTATAGGCAGGTGGATTAGAGCTTGTATTTCTCTGGCATACCAGACTCAGTCACTTCAAGCTCCCAGCCATATCACGGCCCATTCCACCAGGGGCGCAGCCACTACAGCAGCCTGGTCTACCCAGGCATCCATAGAGGAAGTTTGTAGGGCAGCAACATGGGCATCGCCCTCCTCCTTTGTCTGTCACTACAAGATGGATGTATACGCATCTTCTACGGCTTCATTTGGCCGCAAGGTACTAGAACACGCATTAACATTGGATGGGACCCAGGCCCAATCTAATTCCCCACCCTAGGGACACAGGGCTTTGGTATGTCCCATCCGTGGGTTCTCCATCCAATCATGCTGGAGAAAGGGGCGTTGTCTTACCTGAACGCCTTTTCTCAGCATGATGATGGAGAATCCACTCCCTCCCATTAGGTCAGTTGGCCTGGTTCCCATTTGTTCAGACGCGTCGGACTAAAGTCTGGGTATCGCCTTAGTCTAAAACTGGGGTGCACTTGGCACAGAGGGGGCGTTACCAATTTCAGACTTAGTCCAATTGGAGCAGATAGATTAAGACAACCCATCCGTGGATTCTCCATCATCATGCTGAGAAAAGACGTTCAGGTAAGACAATGCCCCTTTTTCAACTCATGATTCTATAATTCTGTTTCATTGATTCCATGAACCTGTGGTAGAATTAGCATTAGGAAAGGAAGTTTCCATAGTAGATAATAGATAAGACTTGGTTTTTCATAGAAATATAAAATATGGCTAAGATCCCCATTTGGAAACCAATATGAGAAAATTGGTTGAATGTTTCTTAAAATTATTTGGCTCCTAAGTTACATTAGCTTTAAAAGTAAATTCAGAAAACCTGAATTTGATGCAGATACAAACGAGCAGACTAAACATATAGTTTAGTTTTAATGGTATCAGTACTCTTAAACATTGGCTTGTAGTATGCTCTAATCTTTAAAATACTTAGTTCCTGTTATTTGTTCACCCTTTAGAATTTAATCCTTTCTGGATTTACCACAAACCCTGATCTCTCCAAGGCCAAATCATCATATAAATATAAGAAATGATGTATAAATGCTAAAAAAATCCATAATGTAACTTTGCTAGTATATCTCCCAACATGGGAGAATTACAATAAAAAATTGCCTTTTTAAAGACTTAGTGGACACATGAATGAAAATAGATGCCAAAACGTGACTGAGCTGTTTTAATTCCCATTTGCTATGGGAATGTTTCACATACAAAAAGACAGAATAACTACCACAAATCCTGATCTCTCCAAGGCCAAATCATCATATAAATATAAAAAGTGATGCATAAATGCTTAAAAAATCCACAATGTAACTTTGCTAGTGTATCTCCCAACACGGGAGAATCACAATAAGAATTTGTCTTTTTAAAGACTTAGTGGAAACATGAATGAAAATAGATGCCAAAACATGACTGAGCTGTTTTAATTCCCATTTGCTATGGGAATGTTTCATATACAAAAAGACAGAATAACTAACTTCTATTTATATCTGTTCTATATATAAATAAAAATAAATGTATTTATAAAATCTTTATCTATACATCTTCTGAAAAATATAATATTTATTCAGGATATTTATTATTACACATTTTTTCAAACAGTTCTTTTAAATATTGTAGAAAATAGCATAAAATCCTTATGATAGATAGGAACTAAAACTAATAATAACAATAGTATTCAACATAATGTGGCACTTCTTTTACATAAATTGTTACATATTTTTAAGATGTATAATTTCTATAAATATGTTTTGGGACCTGATCTTATGCAGGTTTGTTCAGCAGAATAGGTAGGCATATGTAAGTAATGGCTGCCCAAGTGGGCAACATTAAAATGGAATTATAAAAATCATGGAGAATAAAATTGTGAGTGATTCCTAATCACATGGTCTCTATATTACACTTTTGTGCAAATAGAGAACCAAATGATTGTCAAATTACAAATCACAAATCCCTTATCATTGGTCATGCTAGGTGGGATTGCATGCAGTTGTTCTTCAATAATATCTGGAGATCATTCCAAACTTCTGAAATATTAGATCTGAGAAACTAGATTATCTCCTGAAATCCTGCTAATGATGTATGGATTGTTATTAATAATTTTATTATTACTTTCTGTCTTACTTATTTTTCCCCTTAGGACACCATACATAATTCATTCTTAAACTTGTGAGATTTTAAAGTAAGCAACAGCTTAAGTCAGGGGTGTCAAACTGCCAGCCCACAGGCTGGATGTGTCATCAGGAAACCACACCCACCCCATTGCTGGCAATGGGGAAAAAGCTCCGATACGTTGCATGATGTCATGGGACATCCTGAGTTTGACATGTGTGGCTTAAGTCATTGAGTAAGTGTTATGGACTGTGGTTTTGAGTTCAGTCTATCTATTATTACTCTACCACTCTAACAGCATCACATTCTGTTTTCTCATACTTAAAAGCAATATCATCATCCACAACAATTGATCTCATTTCTGATGTTGATGAGCTTATAAAATATCCTGATGCAAAATATAGAGGGATGGGGTCGATTTATTCATGCAGAAAAAGCACAATGATTTTCCTTTCCTCTAATATATTAGCAGTAGAAGTAGAATGCTGTTTGGGAGTTACATTTTTGTCTAAAATGCTTAAGATCCCAGCTATAAATCCAGTATATGAAATCTGACTCAGAGAGCCATTATGGTTATGATGGGGTGAAATGATGTATGGATATATCTGTTTCTCCTTCAGTTGGCTAATACTGCAATGCTATATATTTCTACTCAAAAGGAAATCCCACTGAGTAAGTGGATATAAGATTACAGCCTTAGGGTTCTAAGTGAAGTAGCTCTATTTCTTGCTCAATAAACATCATAGACATGAGAAGCTAGCAAGCAGGTCCTAAATTATTGCTTCAATAGTTTCATCCTAATAGCCATTTTGATCATGAAGGAAAAGTAATGTTTTTGCTGTAAAATAAATATTTCTGATATTGTTGCTATATTATGTATCACCTTTCTCTCAAAAAAACCTGGAATCATTCATAACACAAAAAAGCTAGAAACAAACAAACTGCCTAACAGACTATACAAACAGAGAAAACCAGCAAAATAATTAAGGAAGAAATTGGGTTATTACAGAAGATAGTCCAGAGAGGAAAGAAGTTTGGGAGGCTCAGAATGATTCCACCTTAATTACATTGTGAGTTGTGTAGTACTTAGGAGGCTTTCAAAATTAATGTCAAGCCCTGCAAATTCAGGAAAGAAGAACCACTTAGACTTTTGGAAATATCTTCATTGCTAATAGGTAATGGAACAGAATTTTGAACACCTTCCAGAGTGATTCTCTTGCAAAAAATTTCTTTAGTTAACTAAGGCAGAGTAACTCTGATTCTCCCTCCTCCCCCAGACTCAGAATCTCTTCTGTAAGAGCCCTGTTTTATTCCTCAATTGTCTTGCTGCCTCTTTCCAAAATCTATTAGACATTCCTTCACATCTACTAACCAAAGCTTTTAAAGTAAATTTTAATTATAGTGTTATAAATACATAATATTCCATAAATAAATATGTGCTTGTTCAGGGATAAACAGCAGAGATAAATAAAAAGATTCAGAGGTGTTATATATGGCCCATGATTGGATGAACAAGGGCTGCCTTCACATCCTCATACTTTTTTGAAGCAAAATGACATTACAGGTTTTGCTTACCATCTCCAGATGTTTGGGCTGTGAAGTGGGGAAATATCCATTCACACTGAAAATCTGGGATCTGGAAATGTAATAAGATAGTTATGTGATCTCATCTCCATAAGTTTTGATTCAATCTATATTCTCACTCATCATCCAATGTCATAGTTTTGTGAGTCTCCTTGCTTAAATCATTAGCCAGGATGCCACTCACTGATTATTATTTTCATGATAGGAACAGAGAAAATTCAATAACTGAAGTCTTGTTACAATCTGATATTTATCTGTCATATATATCTGTATATAAACCATTTTATTCCATTGAGCATATATTTTTGGGACATGTATGTACCAAAACAGTTAAATCAGGTGTGGTAAATAATTTAAGCAGCTGTGAAAACACTTCTGGGACAAGGAAAAATGAGTAAGCAAGTTGATGTTTGCAAACAATTTTTTTAGTAACAATCTTTAATTTCAATTTAGTGCAACTCCTAAAGCATTAATATCTCAACCTAAATCATAGATATTGATTAGTAGTAATGGAATTGTAATTGGCATTCCATCATAAAAGTTCCAGTAATTAGAAAACAACTTTTACTGTAGTTTCACAGATTAGTTTAAAAATGCAGCCAGAAGGTAAGTGGTAAATATTCAATATAATCAAATCTTTCTTATATAAATAGAAATTCAACTTCTATATTAATTTTGGTCTGCTGTTTAGTTCTTATTATTCATACTACTGGATTATTTAATCTGGTTATTGGATTGTTCAGACAGTAGCCTTCAACTCCCTCAGTCAATTAAACATTTATTGTATCTGATTTGTCAGAGTCAGTATCGCAGCTAATCTCTTAAATACACCTCAGTTTGGGAGCTTTACATGTGTTTACTCTCTTGCAAAATGAGCTGGGTATATATATAAGTAGACTCATAAAGAACAATCACAGATAATCACCACTGCTTTACTTTGCACATGATAGATAGACAGCAATGTTTAAACGCACATATAAACAAATACACAAATATATTTCCACATACGTATACATAGAAAACTGACATTTCACTACTGCTCTCAGGCTGTATATTCTACATATTGATCATAAGGGATACACAACTTGTATACCTTCTCATAAAGAAGAAAGACAAACAACATATTTGGTAATCATGACTATCACAGTCATATTACTGATACAAAATTACTCCAGAACATTTTTTTAAAAAGTTTGATGTAAAATTATTCTTCTACATACAAAAGCTTTTCCATACATTTCACTGAAGGGATTAAAGTGTATACAAAGAACAGGCAGAAAACTACAGCAAGTAACTGATCAGAATTACAGATTTATTCAGAGAGTGCCAAATATTTAGCAAAATATGCATAGGCTTGTCATGCTGTTGGAATTTCACTCTGGCAGGCAGGCAGGCAGACAAGCAGGCAGGCAAGCAGGCACACGTGTTTTTTTTTTTTTCTCTTTAAAAATTAACCTTTTCATAACAAAGGCTATATTTAAACATAGCAGCAGGAGCTCCGGGATTCTAAATCTAGCTCCTTTTTCTTAGGCATCAACAGATATCCATCATCACCTTCATTTTGCAAAAGAAGATAAAAGCAGAATACTCTCTTACCACCGAGTAGAAAAAGCAATTTGTTCAGCTGCATCCAACTGAGGCTTTGTGAATGAGGCTTTGTGCAGGCAGGCAACACAAGTGATTCTCGGGCCTCACACAAAAGCAAAATAATTGGCTCTCAATGAAGAGATGTAAACACCCATTATAATAGCACTGGAACTGAAGCTGAAAGCTACCTCAGCTGTTCTATGTACTCTGACTGTAGGATGATGTCACAAACATCAACTGGGTGTACTCTCATTGGTTTCTGTTACCTGGATTCATATCTTAACCCTAAGCTGGCAGCTGCAAATTTGAGCAGGATTGCTGTTCATTTGGGAATGGGTCTAGATGCTCAGATATCCTCCAATCTGAGAAAAGAGAGTAACAGGTGCATATTGATTAAAGAGAGAAAACAAGACACTGGTGTGTGTGGGGGGGGGGGGTAGGAGGCAATTAATCCTCCTAATTTGCTTATACAATTAAGGCTTTGGTAATTGCATTCCTACACTCTGTTTACTAAATGACAGTAGTAATCACAATCTCATAGAGAATGGATATTAAAGGAAAGATAACACATTACGAACCATTGCATTTAGAGAGTTGTCTTCTCTTTTGGCATAAGCTTGCTGACAAAAACATGCTTAAAAAAAACAGTAGGGTAAGCATGGTTTGCAAATAATTTGTAAGCATGGTTATAATTAAGGTTGTTGAAGCCAGAACTGGACTTCTATATATTTTTGTCAATGTAATCAATGCTCAGATAAAAAGTTCTCATCTGTATATATCTGAATTCAAATATTTTATAGTCAAATTAAATGAAAAGATAAAGTTCAAATTGCAATTCTATGATCTTAGAATTGATCAAAATCGCCATCCAAAGTCAGTCAGAAGATTCTACCTTCCCAGAAGTGAATTCAACATCATATTTATTGTTCAGTCTCCCAACTGTGTTCTTGCACATACTGTATATTACATTGCCATCACTCTAGTTGTCATCTAAACATCTTCCTTCCCCTTATGATCAGCACACACACAAACACACATACACATACCTCTAAAACTATCATTATCAGTACCTGGATGAAACAGTGCATCATAGACCAATAATTTTTGAACTAAGATGTTCAAATGAATTAAATTACAGAAGATGTCCAAAACCCAAGACTCATGAAGGAATGAAATTTGGGAAAGATATGGCTGATTCAGTGCTATTGATTACTCCTGTGCTATGTGGCTGTTGCTGAAATCACATGATCTTCATGTTTGACATCCTGTGACAGTTTCCCAGCCAGTCTCACAATCCCTTGCTCCGTTCTCTAGCCAGGAGCAATGAATTAACTCATTATATGGATCTTAAAGAAGCAACAATTTTAAGATACATGAAGAAAGGCCTGGATATTTTTACTGCTTTATGTGCTCTTCTCTGGCACAAAAATATGCACATCAGTCTCATCATTGTTCAGGCACATACATAATACTCTATGCATGACTTGAACAATGTAATACTTCTGCCCTAATTGTCATGCATTTCTATTCCTGGGAGAAACCATCAATTTATGCCGTATAAAGGGAAAGGTCAGGATAGGCAATTTGCAACCTCTATCTAGTGAATGCCTAATTTTATATGGCAATGGTGAACCTACTGCAAACAGGTTCAGGAAGAACATCAGACAATACAACTGCCTCTTCCAAAGATGTCTTGGTGCCAAAGATGTCCTTCCAATAAGGAAAGGATGGAACCCTTCTGTGACTTTTCAAGAGCAAATTTGTCATTACATCAGACATTTTAATGCCAAATCATAACCAACAAGCCAAATTTATTCAAATTTACCTCATGGATCCCCAAAATAATGTAGAATTAAGAATGGGTTTACTCCACAATCATGGAATTCATTACTGAGATTGTTGAATTATTAGAGAAAATACTACAACAAAGAAATTCACACATTGCATCTCTTTCACTTGCAAAAAACAAATCTGAGACATGTCAGAAGCTTTCATTGTCACTGATCATGACAGGACACCACCATTTGAACATGGAAGATGATTTAATGCAGAAATTGACAACAAAGTCACAGTCATTATAACAAACAACACTGGAACTGAACCAATAAAGGCACATTATGTTCAAATACCAAGAAGATAGTTTGCAAATAATATCAGACTCTCATTCAAACTCCTATGACAGTTTTCAATGCATACTTTTCTTTCCTCTTAGAGATGATGGCTGGCACCATCAGCTTCAAATGATGTACAACAAGAAACTAATGGCAATACATTATTATGTATATTGAATAATTAACCTTGAGAATGAGATTAATAACCTTCTAAGCAGAGGATGTCTATTCCAACAATATGTGGTTGGTATGGCTGCTAAGACTGAAGGTGGGAGGCTGAGTTACATCCAAATGAATCAAACAACCTTGAGATCAACAACGAATAGAGAAATCTGTCTGACCTAGTGAATGATGATGATGATTTTAGAAACAATCCAAAAGTGCATCATCCTCTCTTTAACTAGACGATGGAAAGATGCTATGATACCATGATGTATAGTAGATAGAGCATATGGCAGTGCTTAATTTTTCACATTGACATGCAATCCAAATAGGCCAGAAATACTGCACAAGAGAATCTTTCTTTGAGTCAGCAGCCAATTAATCAGCCAGATTTAATCACAAAAGTATCCATCTTGAAGAGAAAGTTGTTTCTGAAGTACTTCACTGGAACACATAATCCGTTCGGTAGATGTATTGCTCACATGTTAAATGTGGCCTGTCCCAAGTGGGTCTACCTCATTTGCACTGTCTGCTGAGCTTGATGAAGAATCTAAGTCAAGACCACAAGATTATGATACATTTGTGCAAACTGAAATGCCAACCCCCAAAAAGTCCAGAGCTACCTAAAGTGGCATTGAAGCACATGATCCATCAATGTGTTGAAGAACTGGTACATGCAATAAGAGGTATTCAAATTCATTGTACCAAAGATAAACACTGGTGCATTCAAAAATGGCATTGTCATAATTCCAAGAATTATGCAAAATGTATGAGAAGGTGGAGAGGTCCCTCTTCAGTATAAATGGTCCTCAATAAACTCATGCTTTGCTCTCACTATACATAAAACACAAGGACAAACCAAGGAGAATATGCTAATTTATTTAGAAAAAACTATTTCAGAAAAGGAGTTAAATGTTAAAATATTTTTAAAGAATGGCACATTAATCACAAATGTCATCAAAAGCATTCTTTGTTAAACAAAAAGCATATATACAACTTACTATACATATTCCTTCTTTAATAAAATGATGTTTCCTTTTTAACATTTAAAACCAAAACAATAATGTCAGTGGTCAATCTGTTTCTCTGTTTAGGTAAGGAAACAATCTTGAAAGGATGACCTATGACTTGTCTAGTGCAGGGGTCCACAACGTCTGAGCCATGGCCCACTACTGGGCCATGGCCTATTTGCAACTGGGCCACATGAATAGCGGGCTGGTGCTCACACACATGCACACAGCTCAATTCACACAAATAGCAGGCCTGTGTGCATGTGCATGCACCTGTTCCAAGTAAAGCCATTTTTTTCTATTAATTGATGGTTGTGTTATCAATACTAATGGTGTTCAAATGGTATTCCAGCTGCCTTGGGGTTGCACCCAAGGTGCTTTTCACAATTTGTACTAGCTTTTATTTATTTATTTACTGCCACTGTTATTCTATTTTTATTTGTAGCTCTTGGTATTTTGTGATTTTCTCCTATCTCTTCTATTCTGCTATCTCCAGCTACTTGTAGCAACCCCAATCCAGTATTGTCTTTCTTAATGATAATTGTTAAGCTTGGGGTGTTACATGACAGGTGCTTGTCTGTTTGAATTTTATTAATATTGTTATTCTAAATTAGGCCATCTTAATGGCTAGATTGGTTTTGGGCTGAGAAGATCACAGATCAACTCCTCCACACCCTATCTGTGATATGCCCTATTTTGGTGCTGGAATGTTCTCTAGCAGCTTTTTAATTACTTTTCTCCTTGCAATGTTTTGAACCCAGCAGTGCTGAGAGGCTGTTGCTGCTTTACTTAGAATGTCTAAAAATCTTGGATTGCAGCAGTGTGACACAGCTATTGTCATCCTGGCCCCCTGTCTACCCTATGGACTCTGCCATTTGAACCACTTCACCTATCAACACTGAAGGATATGGATAGTGTTCTTCACTGCAAAAACAATGTGCTGGTGTTGTATACACTAAATATACTAAAAAGAGTTTCTTTTGTTATGAAAATTTGTTTTATATAAACATTGGATGGATAACTTATGCACAATTTATGCAGAACTGAACCAGTCAGAATACAGCACTGCCAATAACATTGCTAACTTTCCTTAAGTCAGTTTTGATTCCTGTTATCAACTTTATAGTTCTTTCAATAACGCAGAAGTGGTTTGGTATTGCTTTCTTCAAGAAATTATTTTTTTTATTTCCCAGTATAGTCTGCAGCCCTGGTATTTTCTTAGGAATCTCATTTAAGTACTAACCAGCTCAGAATTGCTTTGCTTTTACAAATCAGCCAACGTCAACTATATGAACCACTCTTGCTGAGCTATTTGTTCCATTCTCAGGATCTTTATGTGGTTAAACCTGAGGTTTGAGGAAATACTGCAAACACAACATTTAGTTCTGAATCCAGGCTATCCCTTCAGTTTTGTTTTGTTTTGCTTTGAAGCTAAGCATTCTCATTCTCTACAAAGAAGACACAGGTAAGTGAAAAATAGAAAAATTAGACATAAGTTCAATAAATCACTCCATCATTGCCTCATGTTTCTTTAACAGAGTTGTAAAAACTTAGGACCTGAAATGCAGAAGACATAATAAACAACTGTTTTCTGTGGAGGGTCTGATGCAAGCTATTTGTTAAAATGTACTTTAAGTGGAAGTGAAAACTTCTCATTTATTTCTGGCTCAAAATGTGGAGTTGGAGGTGGAAATATATAAATATAGACAAAAAGATTCATTGCCATGCAAAATGATGTATTAATGATCAAAAAGATTAATTTTAGACAATGGGGATGCCAACTTTGGAGGTTTCTAATGATTAATGATAAAAATAAAAAATAGTAATTGTTAAGGTGATATGAGCCATGATTAAAATAATTATTTATGAAATAAATAATCTGTTTAGGCAATCACATGCACAAATTATATTCATCTGAAGATATACTACTATAAATAGTCAAGGTCAAAAAGAGAGACACTCTCGGTAGAAATCAGTGTGTGGTTGGTTCACTCAGCTACAGCTTCTTTTTTCTTTCATCTGAGAAGTTCAAAAGTCCACATATTCTGTTTTTTTCTATGACATATTTCAATGTAATATCTTCCTCATTCAAACCCTAGCATTCCTTGGGAAAGTTTTTTAGTTCAAATGCATTAATAAGGTTTTAAGCATAAAATGGCCAATCTGTTATTCCTAGCCCTATAAATAAATAAGCACAATCCAATCATTTTGTTTTGTTTTCCATTTAATTGGTTGCCAATAGTGATAGGGAAACATGATAAAGTGTTAGTTTGGTTTTCTTATAAATATTTCTATCTGTACATCTTACCTGAATAGATTGCTCATCCTTGCCAGGAGCATTTGGCTTTGTACAAGACCAGTTTTCCCCATTCTTGTTCCCTCCAGTTCCATGGAGACTGTAACTTGCCTTGAAGCAGATGTTTAATGATCTGGAAGTGTATAGCATAATATCTGACAATTTACTTGTCACAATAAGATTGGCTTACTCTGACCTCATGTCCTTTCATATGGCCTACTTCAGATGCCTTTTATGGATTCTTGTGGACTCTTGAGAATTTTTCTGATAATTCAATGGGCAGTTGCCACTGGCAACAGGAAGGGACCCAAGTTCGTGATTGGTTTTTGATGATATCTCTTGGTTCAGTTTGTTTTCTCCTTGTTTTGCTGAGGACTGCCAGGAGATAGAACTGATAGAAGTTATTCCAGATAGATGGGTTTGAGCTCATATCTAAGCCTACACTAACCCAATAAGAGAGGCTCTACTTTTCCTCCCTTATTTCATTGGGGAGGATATCTTGTTTAGGGTGTCAAATTCCTTTTCTGTTGAGAAACATCTTGCAGCTGTTATGGCTGTTATAAGGAAGCAACTTCAGAATACCTAGGAAAAAATATTATTTAGACAATTTTCAGCTGTAATTCAGAACTGTTGTGGAATAGAAACAATATTGGTCACACTTGATTAACCTCGATAAGAAAGTTTATATTTTCCAATCCTATTAGACCTCCCAGAGTCTTCAATATGATCGACAATGGTCTCCTTCTAGAATATCTCTGGGGGTTGAGATTGAGGAACTAGGATCCATTGGATCTACTCCTTTCCCAGGGGTAGTTTTAGTTGGTTAGACTTTACCCAAATAGCTTCTTACATGTAGAGTGCCACAGGACCTGGTTTTCTTCTTACTATTTTTAACATCCATATGAAATCACTGGGAGAGTTCATTTGTCCATTTGAAATAATAACAGTATACAACTTGGACCATTTCAGTGACTCCACTGAAGTCTTGAACTTGGCTGTTAAGGTCTGAATGGAAAGAAACAGGCTGAACCAAGCAAGCTATATTCCAGTAAGATAGAGTTGTTATTTATTCAGCTGATTTTCTGTTCAATCTAATGTTGTCTCCAAAAGATAGCACCACTGCTAGGTCTGTATATTGGAGTCCATCTTCTACTGTACGGGTGGTAAGATTATGGCTTGAAGGCCTTTGCCCAATTTCATTTAGTGCATCATGAGTCTATCAGGAAACTGAATTAAATTGCAACATTAATTCATGCTCTTATTGCCACTAGTTAAATTAGGCAGTGTGCTCTACCTGAGGCTGCCTTTATATACCTCTGAAAACTAAAGTTGGTTCAAAATGTAGAAGGTCATGTATTAACTAATGCTAAGTGCTATGAGCACATTACACCTGTGTTTATGAAATTGTTTTCTTGGTGCAATTTTAAGTGCTGGTTTTAACCTATCAGTTTTATATGGCCTTATAAAACTATAATTAATATGGCTTGTTGCCAAATACTTTTAGGACTGCCACCTCAGATAGATCAACCTCTCTTGACAAACCTCAACATTATTTTCCTTTAGGAAGCAAGCTAATATGAAGGTTTTCCAGAAGGCTTTCTATTTATTGAGTGAATGCTACATATCTGTCTATATTGTGATAGTAGGAAATAAATATAATTTAGTGTTATACATGTTAGAGTTGGTGTATTGTGTGGTAAGAATTTTTCAAGTTTCTTTTTGGGTAATAAATGTTTCATTACCACACTAGATAACAACAGTGCAGAAGATGTGCTGAACTGAGATTTGTTGACTGGCAAATGTTATGCAAATGAAGTGTTGGGGCTGCATCTTGTGACACATCTATGAGCAGGATTAAATATGTATTGTATGTCTGCTAACTATTGGAGTGTTAAGGGTCTAAATATTGAATTGAATTATTTTATTTCACTTCACTTGTATGCTGCCTGTTCCTTAAGATCCGGACAGATAACTAGATCAACCTAAAATAATGAATAAAATAATAAATCTACCCATAATATAAACAAAGTTGGCAATATCAAATAATAAAAAAAATCACACACCTGCCATATTCATGTTTACATAAAATTCAAAATAAACAATAAAAAGCTAAGAAGGAAATAAAGACCAGAAGAGATACCCTCCAGCCAACATCCAGATAACCAGGAATTAACAACAGACAAGTAATCAAGCAGAAAATGATACTTAAATCAAGGAACTACCAAGATGAAACCATATCCCTGCCAAACTGACAGGGCAAGCTACTATGTGAACAGGGAATAAACCTGACATTCACTAATACTGATAATGTTACTTAGTTGGGTAACAATTGTCTGCAAGCAAACAACCAAGCATCAGACAGCATCCACAATTCAACCTTGAGCTACATTTATTTTTTTCTGTTGGGATATCCAGGTTTTAATTGCTTTCCTTAAACATAGGAAGGAAGAAACAATCCATGAGAAGAACATTTCAAACAATGGGAAGTGGCAATAAGAAATGTCTGCTTCTAAAGTCCTGTCAGATGGCAATTTTATACAGTCAGCAGGGGAACTGACTGATTCATTTTGATTAGAGAGGTTAATGCAGAAGAAGGCAGTCCCTCCCTCTCTCCAGGACCATGCAGGTGTTTCAAGGAAATTCAAGGTGACAACTAGCACCTTCAATTGGCAACCAAATATTCTTGTACTTTTCAACACAGCATGTTCTAAAATTTCCACCAGTTCCCAGTTGAAATTACATCCTAGATTGTCTGTATGAAGGGAAATTAATGGTACAATATAGCATCACTTGTTTTGCCTTCTAGTTAATCCTTGCAGATATTTTCAACCAATCTTCTGTCAGTATATAGTGGCATTTTTAGCCTTTGAATTTTATTTATATATATTTTCTATTTTGTTTTCATTTAGCATTAGGTATTTGGATTTGCACATAATGATTTCTGTGCTATAGATATTCAGAATAGTTAGAGTAATTTCTTGAACTAGAACACAGGTCGGCAACCTGCGGCTCCGGAGCTGCATGCGGCTCTTTGAGCCTTCCCATGCGGCTCCCAGCCTCCTCTGCCTTTGCAGAGAGAGACAGAGACAGAGAGAGGAATTGCGCTTCCCTGCTTCTCTCTCTCTCTCTCTCTCTGTGTGTTTTGTGTGTGTGTGTGTGTGTGTGTGTGTGTGTGTATAAAAAAAAAGAGAATGCACTCACAGTGTTCTCCGAGGAGCTGAAAAGCTTACTGGGCGGAGCTCTTCCCTTTGCTGCGTCTCTGCAGGAAGCAGGAAGGGCAGGAGAGAGCTAGCTAGCCCAGGTAGGCTGACTCAGGAATTCTGGGAGTTGAAGTCCATGAGTCATAAAAGAGACGAGGTTGCTTACCCCTGATCTTGTTGGACAACAGCCTGAAGCTTGTCAGGTGAGCAGCAGATAGGAGGGGGGGGGAGAAAGAGAGAGAGAGAAAAAGAGGGAGAGAGAGAGAGAGAGAGAGAGAGGAAAGAGAGAGAGAGAAAGAAAGAGAGCGGGGGAAGAGGAGTGGCAGACCAAGGGCAGAGAGAGAGAGAGAGAGACCCTTTTGACATCTAAAATGAAGATAACACTGCATATATCCTTTTTTTACCTGTGTGTGTACTGTGTGTGTGTGTGTGTGTGTGTATATATATATATATACATACATACATATACATATATATACACACACACACATACATACACACACACAAACACACACACACCTATAATAAAGGTAAAAAAGGATATATGCAGTGTTATCTTCATTTTAGATATCAAAATGGTTTTGCGGCTCCCAGTGTTTTGTTTTTTGGTGGGAAACGGGTCCAAGTGGCTCTTTAAGTGTTTTGGGTTGCCTACCCCTGAACTAGAATATTGATGTATGGGAGGGTTGTTTTTTATGGCTATTTATTTGGTAAATAAACAAACTTTTGTGATGTTCTATGGCAGTTGGATGTGTGTGTCTTTTTGGATGAAGTTGTATGAAGATTGTTTGAGTTGGGCTTTGTCTTATAGATAATTTGTTTCTATGTGATCTGATATGCTGTAATGGATTATGGCTGATCTCTTTATCTATATGAAAAGTTTTCAACTATAGATAAGGTTAGCTACAGAAAGAAAGGAAAAAAAGGAAGGAAGGAAGGAAAGAAAGGGAGGAGGAAGGGGAAGGATGCTGCCTATTTTCAGAATTAATATTAACAGTACAATTTCAAATTACAAGAGTGTACACTGAATCTTTACAAGGACAAATCAACCCATACCAACACAGAATCTTTTCATTTAAGAAGACCAAATGAATCTCAAATTTGAAAGATTTAAAGGAATACATAGACTGCTGTTCCATACTAAAACTTAACCAACCAATAGAAATACATTTTACGCAGTCCTAACATATTAGCATTATTTGTATGAAGTGCACCCTTCACATTACTTGTCAGGAAATATACTACAAAAATACACACTGGCAATCCACCATCTACCCACATTAACTCTGACTTTCTCATGGGGAATAAAAGATGAAAGCAATTTAATGGGCAAGCTATCATGTAGCAACTGTCTTTTCTGTCCTCCTGAGCTTCTCAGATGCATCACTCCATTCAGCCAAAAATAAAAATAGAAAGGACATAGCTGGTTACTGTTATTCTGTTGGTTAGGCTTGAAGTTCTATTGGCTTTGTAAAAAAAAAAGGCTCAGTAATAAGCCACAAGACAACAGTCCATTTTCAATGCTTAAAATAGCTGTAATATTCCAAAGATGCCTTTTGAAATAACCATGGTGGTGGTGGTCATGGTGATTATATTAATTTCTTGAAGCACTCATATTTTTGTTTCATGCTTGAATTACTCAAAACAGTGGTTCTGAGATTGGAACATTTTAAAATTGGTTTGGTATCTTTTGTTTAATTTTAGGTGAAGTCTAAATAATTGGAACAGGCATCCTGAATTTCCTTTAATGTACACCTATTATTATCTACCATAACACTGGTTGCCTTTGGATTTATCAGCCAAAGCACAGCTTCTCTTTCCCTATGCCAATTCACTTATCAAGCTGTTTTATCAATGGACAAACTTTATAGCCATTCATTACTGTGATTCTCAAAACACGGAAGAGGAAAAAAGTTTCCATTTGGTTATAAGCACAATTAAAAACTAATTCATCTTAAAAAATCTAAATTATAGATGAGTATGTTTGTTTCTTCCTGTGAATTATTTCTGATTAATCCTGCTTTATGTCTGGTAAAATAAATCTTTTTATATTGCTTTGCCTAGTTTTGCTTCAGTCCTGCCATCTTAAAGCAATGCATAATAGAAAGCACATCTAAAAAAAACCCCTGCTACCCATAGCCAAAAAGTGTTACAGGACTGAATGAGAAAATCTTCCTGGCATTTAAAGAAATGACAATTTATGTTTAAAATCATGGAAATATTAAGGTTTCAGAAAGAAATGGTAGGATAAAATTAAACAAAGCAGACAATAACAATCAACACAAGGAGGAATCTATGCTGCAAGATTCCATGACATCTAAGAGATTTGGAAAGATTTTAGTTGCCTCAGCTGGGAGAAAAGTATGTG